CTCATAATGCATCTGCTTACAGCTGGTTGAATTTAGTTGTTTACATCCACAAAGAGCAGCAGGTCAGCTGATCACAGCCTATTCACTAAGAAAATCTACCGGAGCTCTCAATAGAATTTATTGCAAGTTATGATTCTTTTCCCCACATTGAGCCATACCAACCAATTTTAGGTTCCCCCACCTTCTGAATCCACTTTAACCTCTGACTGTGCTCATTTTCCATTTTAGGTGGGGACGCAACAGAAAATAGCTTTTTTCTCTCTCTGTTGATGTTCAATAACCCAGCGGTGGGTTCCTGCAACAGCCTCTGATGTAAATTGGCAGGCTTTTATGAACTGCTGATAATTGGCCCTCAAGCCATTCCATTATCTTCGCTTACATACTAAACTAAACTGCACACAATTCTGATGTAATAGCTTTTCTTAATGTCAAGCGAAAATGGTAGACATAATTACAATACTTACTGTTTATTGAATAACATATTTTCCCACTTGGCTTACCGACAACAATCAACAATAAAACTAAAATGGCTATTCAATCCCCTCTTTGATCACTTGGTGCCACAAGGAACCTTAAAAGGATGTTCAGGATTCCTTGGGACTATTATGGCTGATGGGCAGAAAACTTCTTGGTCTGTTCTGTGCTTGAAGTAATTCTTTATGATTCCTCCACAGATTGGACCAGGAGAGTTCAGAGGTTCCCAGTGATCAGTCTGCCCAGAAGCATCAAACACACATGGACTCCATATTTATGGTCTGTACATGTACAACAACTACTTTTACATCTATTCTGTTCACAGTCATCTCCATGCTGCTCTTTGTAGACCAGTGGATTGTCAGTGTACCCAACATGGATCTGATGTTTGGCTCCATGACTTCAGTCTAATTGGGTCATACATAAAGTATTCTGTTTCAGCTGCTGGAGGACAACATCATCACTTTTGTGAAAGACGAGCTGAAGAAGATCCAGAAGGTTCTGACTACAGATTACCCAGAATGTTTAGAGAGTCAGAGGGAGGATGATGAGCAGAGGAGGAGCAGCAGAGAGGCATTTGTGAAAATCACACTAAACTTCCTGAGGACAATAAGGCAGGTGGAGCTGGCTGACCGTCTCCAGAGCAGTAAGACGATTTCTATGAAGATTTAAGCTGCTGGATAAGTGAAACATTTGCTAATGTCTAAAAATATGTATTCAAAAAATATTCATATTGACTTTTTAAAGATGAACCAATTTTTTATTTTATTTAGAACTTTATGGTGCAGTTTGTCAACATAATCTCAAGTCTGTCTTGAAGAAGAAGTTCCAGTGTGTGTTTGAGGGGATTGCTAAAGCAGGAAACTCAACCCTTCTGAATCAGATCTACACAGAGCTCTACATAACAGAGCAAGGGACTGCAGAGGTCAATGATGAACATGAGGTCAGACAGATTGAAACAGCATCCA